CCCGGGCTCCCCCGCGGCTGCGTGTGTGTTTGGTGCGGCTGGGTGTCCCGCTGTGCAAACCCCGTCTTACTGTTACCAAGAGACCCTTTTTGTTCAGTGAAAACAATGGCTTGATATTTATTTTAAATGTTCTGTGAATGTGGAAATCTTTCCCAGGCTTCCCTGAGGGGTGGAGACACAGTGTATAAAGTGGTGTTTACATGCCTTCCAAGAGGTCAAGATGTCCAGGCAAAATCTTGTTTAAATGTTCATCACCATAGAAACATATCAGCTTATTGTTAGAGCTTTTGTAAGTACATGGTACTTTTTGCTTTATTGATGTTCAGTCCAGGGCAATTAAATGTGTGAATGAGCAGCACAAAAATTTCAAGAAGCAATTATAACTATTTTAGTGTTCTAACTTTGCACATTCAGTACTTATTTACTAGCTTATTTAACCTAATTTGAACTGTTCCAGTGTTGAAATGGTTGTAATTTACAAAATAATACCAGTATGAACCTAGTGTAATTAATTACACAGCTTGTTTTTCATAAAAACGGTACGGTATTTTGCTGGCAGAAAGTTCTTTGTTTGGATGGCGCTTTCTGCCAGTGCACCGAGCACTTGTTACACTGTGGTGCTGATGAAAGGGACGGCGTTCCGTTTCAGTGACCTAGGCGTACGGTTTTGGGGGGGCGTTGGGATGAGCACTCACGGCAGACAGAAGCAGGACGTAGCCCACGGAACCCCAGCAGGGCGCGACACGGGCCGGGCGTGCACACGGCTCCATGGGGGAGACCGCTGCCGACACCGTGACCGGCCGGCGGCGGCCGGGCGCGCAGGAGGCTCTGTTCGCGTGCGGATGGACCGTGGAAGCCCCGGTGCCCGCCACGCGCAGGGTGTCCGCCGCGCGCTCTGACACCTGCCGCCTTGCAGCTCGGGGCGGGAGAGGGGCGCCGACAGGGGTCTTCCCCGGTGGCCTCTTTGCTCGCGGTGCTGGCTCCTGACGGAAGAAGGGGCAGCGGGTGCCCTTCGTGCTCCGCCGCCGCCCTGCTGCGATCGACGGTGGCGCCGAGGCGCTCACAGCGCTGCTTCGCGGTGCCGGCAGGTCCGCCTCCAGAGCAGGCGCTGTGCCCGTGGCGCGCTCCGGGCTGCCCGCGGCGCTGCTGCGTCGGTGCGGTGGGGCCTCGGACGAGCCCGCCGCTGAGTCGACGGTGGGGTCTCCACGTCTGCTGCCCCAGCGCCCCTTCCCTCGGCCCCCGGGCGGCGGCGGGTGGACGCCTGCCGTACTGCGTTTAATGAGAAGGTCCGCGTGTTTCCATTCGTTCAGCCAAAGCTCACACACGAGCCCTTTGGTGATTGCAAGTTGAGCTGATTTTGTCTCATTTAATCACGAAGGGAGACTGCCATGGACAGGAGAGCGCGAAGGCCCTGGCCCCCTCGTGGACTCGGTCGGAAGGGCAGCTGCGCTCCCCACTGGCCGCCTTGCTCCGCCCCGGGCGGTCGGCCTCGCCGGGCGCTGGGCCAGGCTTTTCCACCGCCTCCTGCCGCCTCTTCCTCTTCTTCGGTTTAGGTTGGCGGGTGACGACGGACAGAGTTCCTTTTCTCAGTTGCCTCCTGTCTTCCAAAAGAAATGCTCATCAATTGGAGGGAAATACTCGAGGATTTTATATGATTTGCCTGCAGAAGATTTTTGTTTTTGTGGTTAAATATTTTTCATTTGACCACTTAGGCATGTGAATATGCATTTTAGATATTTCATCTTGGTATTACTCATATTTCTATAATAGAAAAGACATCCTGTTGGAATTAGATAGCTTGTTTCTTTTTACAAAGTCTTGTTCCCATATAATTTTTTTAAAAACACAAGATTTTTGGGGGGTGGCTTAGGTTGTAAGTCCGTGTGGACAGGTATGTGGCTGGTGAACCCTGTTGGGACTTCCAGAGAGGGTTAGCCTTCAGTTGCATTTGAAATTCTGTGTTTTTCTCAAGGAGAGAACATGCTTTATACAAGCAGAAGGGGGTAGTATGTGTATTCAGTGGATTTCCTCTGTTTGACGTAACTTCCACTTAGAACTCTTAAGAAGCTCCAGCTGGTTAAATGAGGGGGTCACTTTAAGCAAACTGTGTTTCAAAGACTTTTATAGTAAGGTCGCATGTAGAAAGTGCCCAGAAAGCACTTGAGAACGCAGAGTCCTCATAGGAGGCGTGTCAGCAGCGCACGGGTCATAGTCCGCTCTGGCAGCCCGGTGACCGTCACTCCCGTGTGACCCCGTGACCGTAAGGGGCAGTGCATGTGGCAGGGACGGGACGAGCCGTGGTCACGCCCGCCAGCCCATGCCAGCGCTCGCCGCCGCGGCCGTCTCGGGTGCCCCGGCCCGCGGGGGAGGCAGCCGGGCGGCCGCGCGCCGGCCACAGGGGCGCTCGCGAGGCTGGGCTGGACGTTTCGGGTGCCGTGGTGTCCCCGCGTCTGTTTTGCGGTTGCCACCAAGCGTGACAGGATGAAGTTTGAGTTTTGAAGAGCCCCATTTGTGCAGAGGTGTAGGTGACTCATGGAGAGAAGCAGTGGGGGGGGGGATGCAGGGCCTCCAGCCGGGGGCGGGGGCGGGGCCGGGGCCGGGGCCGGGCCGGGCCGCGAGGAGTCCGCGGTGCTGCCCGCTTCGGGGAGGCCAGTGACCACCTTGTGTCCCGGGGCTCTGCGCCAGCCAGAGGCTGTGTGAAGGCTGCCAGGGCCCCCGTGGCGGGTGTAGCAGATGTCTCTCAGGAGAAATCGAGGAGGGAGCCGCCTGCCCGTGGAGTCAGAGGCTCGAGGGGAGTCCCAGGGACTGGCCTGTGCATGCTGGACTGGCCTGAAAGCAGGCCGGCTCACCCGGTCAGGCGGGTGATGCTGGGAGTGCAGGCGGGGACGCCGAGGGCAAGGACTACGAGCTGGGGAGGGGGAGGACCGGATGGAGAGGAAGGGAAGCGGGGGGCTGTGGATGGGTGGAGCGCGGGGCGCAGAACCAGGTGGTTTGTCACCGTGGCGGTCGGGAAGGTGGTAAGGAGCGCTTGTCAAACGGGGAAAGACAGGAGTATTTCTTGAGGGTCTGCACTGGTGAGTGGCCAGGGGGCAGGTGGGTGTAGCTGGCATTAGGAGGTGGCCTAACTTGAGCTCAGAAACACAGGTGGCGCGTGAGCCGGGGCCTGGGAGGCAGCCACGGCCTAGGCTGCCGCTGGAGTCAGGATGCCCAGCACGGGGCGCCGGAACTCAGCGGATCTCGCAGCAGCCCCACGAGGCCGGGTGCTACGGTAACCCCGTTTCACACGGGGGAAGCTGAGGCACGGCAAGGCTTAGTCGCTGCCCAGCATTGTCCAGTCTGGTGGGACCAGGATCTGAACCTCGCAGCCTGTGGGAGTTGGGCTGCGCACCAACCAGCTTCCTCCAGCTTGTAAATGGAACCGGCTGTTTTCAAACGCTTACTCTTGTGGGTGCAGTATCCTGGAAGTTAATTCTTCCCAGAAAATAATTGAAAATTAAAAACAAGATTTTGTCCTTGTATTACTTAAGTCACACACACCTACTCTAGAAAGTTTGGGAAATACAGAAAAGTACAAAGTACTGGAGAAACGTAGTTCCTCGTGGCCATAGCCCTGGCGACTGGACAGTCCCCTCCGCCGGCCTCGCAGGGCTCGCTGCTCCGCGTCACCAGGTCAGCCCTCCCTGCTTCCAGGCTGCCCGTGCCCCTCCACAGCCCAGCCCTGGACCGGTGTCCGCAGTCATGGGGGCCCTTCCGTCTCCCGCCTGCTAGAGCGTGTTCACCGCCAGGTCCTGGGAGCCTGCTCGTGACCCCACTGCCCGGCGCGGGCCCGGGTGTCCTCCAGGGCGCCTTGTCTGCCCCGCCCTGGCACCCCACGCCACCCAGGCTGCGGAGGCCTGCGGGCCCACAGCGTAGGCTGCCGGGCACCGCCCGAGGAGAGGGCTCCTGTCCCGCCCCAGGCCGCCCTGTGCTGGGCCGGGCCCGCGGGAAAGGCCGCCGCAACTTGGGGGCAGTGCACGGGGCAGCATGTCAGGCCCTGCCCGCTGCTGCTGAGGAGGAGCGAGGGCGCTGCCGTCTACGGAGTGCACCCCATTCCTTCAGGGCAGAAACTGGAAAATAACAGGGTGAAATCGGAATCAGCGTGTTTAGGATCTTCATGTATAACTCACGTCTTTACCTTTTTAATGTGGAAGGAAGGATCATGTGGTTCATAAAGAAACATGGATTCACTTATAATTCCGTCTGTCGAGTTAGATGTTGCAGATCAGCACATTACAGCATCGAGATGACAGATTCAGTCATTCGGTGGCTTTCCAGGAACATAAGGATGTCCTTGTCACCTTGTGCAGCAGGTTTCAAGTTCACAAGTCTGGCCTCCAGGTTGGCCCTGAGACTGGACTCGTTTTACATTTAGAACGGCATGTACCCGCGTCCCAGCCCTGGGGAGTACCAAGAAGACTGTCACCGCGCAGAGGCCTGGCCATCCTTCGCGGCCCCTCCCGCCGCGCCCCTTCTCCGCTCCTCCGGCCCGGCGGGCGGGCGGAGCCTCCGCCGGCGCTAGAGGGCGCCCGCGGCCCGAGCGGCAGGACAGGACAGACCGGCCGGCGGGCTTGGAGCCTGCAGCCGCGGAGCTCGCCAGCTGCTTGGCTCTGTGCCTTAATTAGCCTCGTATCCCTTGATTAGAACCACAGATAAAAGGTGATTAATCTGCTTCCGTGGAAGAAAGTGTTAGGACAGTAATTAATTGTTTAGGATGGTTCTGTTCTGCAAAATGTTTTTCCAAAGAATTTTTTTGGGTATTTTCTTCAAAGCTAATGGCATTTTACAGATTTTTGAAAAACCGGACTAAACGTGAACAACTGTGATCTCGCAGTGGTTTTTGTCCTGCTGCTACATACAAACGTTCCCCCTTCCCAAGGAATCCTGCGCCCTTGTCTGTAGACAGGAGCCTAATGATGCACGAGCCATATCCCGATACCGACGTCAGCCTGTGTATTTCGCAGGGAATCCGAGCCCGCATCCTGGAGACGCTGGTCATGCTGGTGCTGCTCGCCCTGCTCATCTTCGGGATGGTGTGGGTCGCCTCGGCGCTCGTGGACCGTGACGCAGCCAGCATGGAGTCTCTCTACGGTACGCCGGCCTCCCCAGCCGTGTCCCCGGCCCGCGGCCGCGGGCCCACCTTTGCAGCAGCCGAACCTGTCTGTGGAGAGTTAGCCCTGGTGAACGCAGGGAGCTGAGAAGCGCCCCCACCCCAACCTTACTCTGAGGACGCTGTGAAGGCCCCGCGCTCCCCCCGCACCCCGCAGCTGGGCCTGGGTGCGGCTGTGGGCCGGCTCCTGCCCTCTGTGTCCCGCGCAGCTGCTTCCTGCTCGCGGACAGGCTTGCGGAGGGGCTCTCTCCTGCTCCCCTCACCCCCCGTGGGCTCTTGTCACGCGTGGGGCCTGCCGGACTCACACAGGTGGCTCCGACGTTTGCCGAGTGTTGGTCTGCGGCGGCCCCCGTCTCCGCAGACGGCGGGGGACTCACTGACAGTGCCCCCTTCTCTGCAGATCTCTGGGAGTTCTACCTGCCCTACCTGTACTCCTGTATCTCGCTGATGGGCTGCTTGCTCCTCCTCTGTAAGTATTTGCCTGATGTCGTGTTGAGCAGATAGTAGCTGTCCTGTGTTCTAGAAAATTGTGGGAAACTTTCCTGATGACATTTGTCAATAGCTTAGAGAGTTTTAAACACTTGGCCCTTATGTTTTGTTACGTTCAAGATAAATTTTGGCAAACTGAATCCTTGAGATAATAAGACATTTGTGTTGTTCTCCAGAAAAAGCCTCTTCCCCAGGGTTGGGGGGGCAGGGGTGGGTGGAGGGGGGAGATGCACCCACGGAGCACACGTGTGCACACTAAGCGACAGGCACAGGCACACGGGCACAGCTGTGCACACGGCCACCCAGACACACAGAGGCCCTGACGCCTGCAGCACAGGCACGCAGACCTGCAGGCGTGCGCACGGCTGTGGGCGTTCACACACACGCACACGCTCACGCTCACAGAGACCCGCACTGCCTCCCGTGCCCGCCATCACAGCACTAGACCCTGCTTTTGGACGGCAGTGGGGGCGTCGCGCCTGGGGGATGTGCGGTCTCCGTTTGGAAGTTGGCTTAGTTCCACCTACGACACCACAGCATATCTGAGGGACGTTACACACGCTAAATGTCCTTGGAAGGACGGAAGGTTATAGCTGTCACGTTTAGATGTTCTCATCTGCTTCTCAGTTCCATTAGCACCTAAGGCTTAGCCTCTTCTTTAGTTGGTTTTCTTTAACCTTGTCTCTGAAAAGACCCTCATCAGTCAGGTGCCCGAGGCCCGCGTGTGTGCGTCCTCGGCCTGTAGCCGTCCGCTGTCCTTCGGCAAGTGCGGGAGGACGTCCGCCCAGCTCCGCCCGTGACTCGGGGGCCCCCACGGACGGGAGGGCCTCGGGCTGCGCCGGAGCTTCCTCACCCCCGGCGTCTGCGTGGGCGAGGTCCCGAGGGCGCGAGGCTGGCTGGTGGTGAGCGCCCTGTCGCCCCCCTTCCGCAGTGTGCACCCCCGTGGGCCTGTCCCGCATGTTCGCCGTGATGGGCCAGCTGCTCGTGAAGCCGGCGGTGAGTACGACAGCGCCGCCTGCCTGTCCGGCCGCTGTGCCGGTGCTGCCGGCGCGGGGCGGAGGGGGGCGTTTCCTGGGGCCTGGGGACCCCGTCTGTGCTTGTCGTTTTTATTTTACTCGTTTTCATTTTCGGAAACCACAGTTGTTGTTGCTTTTAAAATACTACCCATATTTTATTTTGGGTAAAATTTCTGTAGCAAGTTTTAAGACAGATTTCCAAATGTTTACAGGTATTTTAGGTATTTGTTGCCTTATATCAAATGGTAACAACTATTATGTTTCAGAATTTACCACATACATTCTTTGATTTATAAAAGCAATTATGTTGCTGAATATTTGTGTATTAGATCTTGTCCCTTTAATCTCAGAAGTGTTATATATGCATTTTCTAATGATTTTCAGTTCTAATCATTTGTTTCTTTGGCCTCTAGGTACTTTGTCAAATAATTAATAACATGGAAACAATTCTTAGCTGTGTCTGGGAGATGGGTCCCTCAGATCATGTGCATGGCTCCTCACTGCCCCCACGCTGCAGTCTAAGCCACTAGCCCATGCGTGCCGGGCCTCCCGGGGCCCGGCCGTGCCGAGTTTAGCCTCCGGCACCCCTGCGCCCCCGGGCGCGGGCCTGGACTCGGCGGGCCCGGGCTGAAGGCTCCCCCGCGCCTGCCCCCGCGGGGCGCTTCTCGCCGCTCCCCTGCCTGGCAGCCCCCGGGGGCCTGGCGCTGGGTCTGCTGCCTTCCCGCCTGGCTCTGACCCTTGCCTCCCTTCTTTAAGCTAAAATAATTAAGCTCCTTCCTCTGTGTTTTTCATGTTCTCCTCTGTTTGTATTTTACTAATAATACTTGCTCAATTTTTATGGTTATACACTTGTTTTTTAGAAAAAAACTAAGGAAATATAAAGCTATTCTTTTAGTAAATGTTTGCTTAATTTTCAAGGTCTTTTTCTTTTAAAAAGTGACAGTCTCTTTATACCTTCTTTAAAATAAAATCGCATTTTTAACTTGCCCCTGAACGTGCGCACACTCGGACACCGCGTGCCCACTCTCAGCTCTCGCACTTCGCGGCCCTCTTCAGCGGGTTTGTGACGCAGCACGTGCTCAGTTCCTCTGGGCTCTCTGGCCTGTTTATTTATCTTGGTCTCTTTCTCCATCTCCACTTCCTGCCCCGAACTGTAGGCAGCTGTGTCCAGTTCAGCGCTTGCTCTCGAGTGGCTGTGCTCGGTGGTCCGGCAGCCCCGGCCCCTCCCCGGCCCCCTGGGTCTGTCCCCGGGGAGAAGGCGGCGAGGACGGGCCGCAGGGCGAGCCTCTGAGCGCCCTAGGGAACACGCGCGGAGCGGGACCAGCACACACAAAGCCGGCACCGCCTCCGCCTCCTGCCCTGCGCTAGTTTTCCTCCCAGACTTGTCTGTCGTCAGCGGTGTCCTTCGCCCCTTTCCTTGTTCCTCATCTCCAATCACAGGGGTCCTTTACTGAGTCATTAGGCACACGCCGTGTGCTTGTGGTGAGCGCTCTATGGTACACGCACAATTCCACATCACCCCCGTGGCAAACGCAGGTGAGGTGGTGGTGGTCTCATTTATGGCCAGATCGCCGTGAGGGGCTTCTGCGGAGCCGGCTCGTCCCCGCGCGGGACGCGCATGTTGCCGCCTCAGGGCAGCCCTCGCCGGTGTCCCCAGGGGCTCCCCGCTTCCTCGCTCACAGGGTGCTCGCCTTCCGCGGTTATTGAGATTCGTTACTATCCTTATTTTGTTACTGGTTCTAGGCCATAGGGGAGTACCAGTGTCTATTGAAATCCTGGAAGTTACTGGATTGCTATAAGTCAATTTTATATAAATTGTGCAAATTTGGTACCTGAGGGGGACGGCATGGTGGGAGACCCTGTGTCCTGGCAGCGCCCCGGCAGGGAGCAGAGCGGGCGGGTGAGCAGGGCGTCCATCCCTCTCTGCTTGTCCTGGCGCCGCACGGCTCTTTGTGTTGCCGGGAAGGTGGGGTTTGGGTTTGAATGGCGCAGAACGTTGGCACCCGCTCTGGGCTCCTTCCAGGCCTCCCCGAGAGCCGGGGCCATCGGAGGGCTGATTCGAGGACGGCGCTGCTGGCGCGGCGAGGGCGGACCCCTTCAGGGCGGGTCAGCGGGGGACCGTGGGGCAGAGCCCCTGTAACTGCCCGTGGGTGGTGGTTGGAAACGCTGCCATGTGTGGGTGTTTCTCTCCTCCTCTTTCTCCGTCCCTTTCTCTAATAGTAAATAAAATCTTAAAAAAGAATTACATCCCGTTTTTGGGTCAGATGGGCAAACACATGGCTTTGGTGTGCCCCCCCATTTCAGTGGCTGGTCCATGGGCGCCGTGAGGGCAGACGGTCTGCCGGGCGGTTTCTGTAGCCTGGCGTTCGGCGTCTGCGGGGCGTCCGTGGGCGGGGGCGACGTGCGAGGGAGGCGCCCCCGGTGGCGTCCAGCCCGTGCGTTCGCAGGGCCGCACATTGCGCAGCGGGAAGCGCTGCCGCCCTCAGCTCTCGGCAGGCACGGAGCGCCTGTGTCCGTTGGCCAGCGCGAGCCGCAGGGCCTCTGAAGGCCGCAGGCTTGGGACAGTCAGCGCTCGGCGGGCCCAGCTGTGGACGGGTTTTTGCTTAGTGTGTGAGTCGAGTAGTTTGACAGCATTTTTACTTTGGATTCCTAGTAATTGGAATGTTATCTAAATCACAGGCCAAGCAGCCGAAATGTTCTCATAAGCACCGGTTTCGTGATGTTGCATCACTCACAGTTTGATCTTTAAATGTAGATTCTTGAAGACCTGGATGAACAAATTTACATTATTACCCTAGAGGAAGAAGCACTCCAGAGACGACTAAATGGTACGTGTGCGTCACATATTCAGACCAGAAAAAACGATTAATTCGAGACAAACATACTTGGGGAGACGGATACGAGCTTCCCGGTGCCTTTGTGCTATTGCCCATGTGCTGCGACCTTCCCGGGGAGAGGGGGCCGGTGGCCGGCTGGACCTTTCCGGTCCAGTCGCCGCCCCTCCCTGACAGGTCGGCCCAGCGCACGGCCCCAGGGACTGAGGAGGCAGCCACCACCGCCCTGCCCTGTGTCCCGTGCGGGGGCCCGTGACCCTGCCTGCGGATCCGGGCGGGCTGCGCGCTGCTCCTCAGCGCCTGTGCCGGCCGCGCTGCGTGTCTCGCCAGCGGAGTCTTCCAGGTAAGAAAGGGGCCGCTGCTTTGACACGGAGGTGCTGACTCTGGCTCTGTGGGCTGCGCCTGGGAGCTCTGCTGGTATTCGGGGGTGCCGTTTATTGTCAGCTGGTGATCGGGTTCTCACGGGACAGGCTTCAAACTTTAATGTCAAATTACTGAGTGTTTTTGGCTCTAAAGGAAGAACCATTGAAGAAAAAGGTGACACAGTGAGAAATGACATGGTCTGTGTAAATTTTATCTTGATTTTACTTAGATGGTTTTTCCCTTAAAATATATATTTTTAATACTGAAAACCCACCACCAAGATTAGATTATTAATAGCTGACTGTATTTTAGACTCATAATTCAAGAGTAGGTATAAAGTGGAAGGTTACTTTACGTATGAAATATTGAGAAATAGGAAGAAATATATCTACTTTCTTTAATTGCAAATAGCAAATTTAAATCATAAACCCAAGAGTGTTGCTAACATTAGAACATTGTTCTTAGGTGAAAAAAATTTCAGATTCTTATCTATTCTGGAGAATTCTTGTCAGTAATATTGTGGATTTTGATACAATTAACTTTTAGACTGGAACTGCATGTATCTTTTATTCTAACATTTTAAAGCTACTTTAAGATCAAGCCTATTTAATTCCAGAATTATAACTTCAATCAATACTGTCAGCTTTATGACATTTCATTAAAGTGGTAAATATAATGATAAATTCGTCTTCCTTAGATAATCACTCTCCTGCGCAGTAAACGCGCCAGGGATGCAGGCGCGGCTGCCGAGCAGATGTCTGCAGGGCGGGCCCGCTTCCGCCCGCGCTGCGCGCGCTCTGACCTGTGGGTCAGCAGGCTGGGACCCAGGAGGGGGAGATGCAGCGCTCGGCTCTGCGAACTCGAGGCTCGGAGTTCAGTCTAATCAAAACCAAATCAGGCCGCAAGCACGGCCTTTTCCTCACTCGGCCCTTCCACAGCAGGAAAAGCAGGTCGCTCAGACCCTCCCGGCCCTTCGGCTGCCCAGATCAGGGTGGTCCGTGACGTGCAGAAAGGAAAAGGAAGCGCGTGCCAGGAGGCCGACGTGCCCCGAAGCGGAGCCTGGCCCCCACCCTGCACGGCGGTGCCAGCATGCGGGGGCCCCGCAGCTCCTGCCCCCCCTTGGGCAAGCCACGCACCGCGTCTGACGGGTGGTGCTGGGTGGTCTCTGCGTCCTTCTGGGGAGGCCTGGCCACCGGCGCGGCCTGTGCCGTGGCTCTGCAGCCAGGGCTGGTGGCAGTGCCAGGTGCGACGCAGGCCCAGCAGCGGGAGCCTCCCGTGCCCAGCCTCCCGGCTGCTGGGGGGCCCTGCAGGTGTCCTCTGGTTCTCTCCGCTCTTTTCAGACACCTCAAGTCTCGTGCCATGAGACTGGGCCACTGAGGTCTCCCTGCCCCCGGCCTCTTCCCCCTGCCGGGCTCAGCCCCCCGCCCGGGACCCTGTTGCCCGCTGCCGCCTGCCGAGGTGCCTGTGGCGGCAGTGCCCACGTGGGTGACGGTGGTGCTCTGGGACGTCCCCCGAGCTCCTGGGGGGCGGTGGTCACCCGGCCGTCACGGCCTCAGCCTGTCGGCCGCCCTTCAGCTCACTCCGCGTGGGACACTATGTCCTGCATCGCTTAGTATCGATGGCACGTGCTCAGCGTCCTCGGGTGCAGCCTGTTTCAGTCCCGTGAAGGCCTGTGTCTTCCTGGGGGGCCCATCCGTGCCCCACACTCACCCCTCGCCTGCGGCGTCCTTGCAGTTGTCCCTCACCGTGTCCCCTCGGCCTCAGGGCACGCGGATGTACGCACTGTCCCCCTCGGGAGCCTGTGCGTGTGATTCAGCCCCCCCCCCGCTCTCTGGGTCCCCACAGCGCTCTCCGCTGCCTCACCCCCCGCGCCGTTCCCCGGGTGGCGCCTGCACGCCGCAGCTGGAGCCCCAGGGCGCGGGCGCTCCTGCCCGTTCCCTCCTGTGCCCCGGCCCTGTGATCCTGCCCGACAGGGCGTGAGGGACGTGCGCGGCGGGGGCGGCCCTTTCACCCCAGGGGGGACGAAGGGCGATTGCGTGCAGGACAGTCTTACGGGCGGAGGGTCCAGGAAGAGCCCTTGTGGAGGCCCCCCAGGACGGCTGCAGGCCTCTCCGGGGCGGGCGGGCGGGGGGCGGCCCCCACAGCCAGGCCCAGGCCCCGCCGCGGAGCGCGGCCTCGGCGCCCCCGGGCCGGTGAAGGGGCCGCGTGTAGCATGCGCGTGTGCTGTGCTCAGGCGGGGCCGCTGCGCTAATGGGCGTAATTAGCTCCTGTGTGTGTAGCCTATGGGTGTGCGGGGTGACTTAGAAGCACCGTAATGAATAGGAATTCGTTTTGTTGTTGGAGTTCAAAACCTTCACAGTTCTTTTAATGTAATTTATTTTAAAGTGTTGTGGGCTTTGAACTTAATGATTCAGTGAAGTTTTGTTAGGTGCTATTTTCGTCTTCATGATAAAAAGTTAGCCTATCACTGCGGTAGCAATTACTCTCCTGCTTGATTGTAACCTTCTCTAAAGCCCCGTGCCACTGGGGTGCGATCGGTTTCCTGTGCGCAAGAGCACACACGGTGAACTTGTTTCATTTTTGCTCAGTGTCAGGTTGTAATACCTCTGTGTTCTGAAAAATGAAGGATTTAAATAACCCAGCACATCAGCCTTTTCATGGAACTGAGGGGCCTGGCAGGAGCACTCTGTCCTTACCTGCCCTCGAATCTCGCTGTTTGCCGGGCAGCCGGGTGGTGGTGCCAGGCGTAGGGAGGTGTTTGTGCGCCCAGGTCGGGCGTGTCCTGTCGGGGGTGTGGCTTAGCGCCCCCCCCCCCCCGCCCACCGGGTGGGACAGCTGGCAGCAGGCTCCTTCGCTCGCTGCCTATCTGATGTCTTTCTCCCAACGCCATGGCGACTTGAGGAAATTCCGGTCCGATTTTATCTCGTGTTCTAAGCCGTGCTTTTACCTCAGCTCCCCAAGTGGCCCGCAGTCTAGCAGTGGTCACCCCAAGAATGCTGTCCACTGTTGGTTACCGCTCCGAAGTGAAAGTAGCTCGAATGTAGACTCTGGGCCGCTCTGAGAAAGGTTTGAGTTTAGAGAGGCTGAAGGTGACCAAAGACCAGCTTTCATGAAGAACGCATGTAGCAAAAGTTGTTGGCAGTGAACGGCCCCTCCTTTGGCGATACTGTGGTGGAAGAGAATGGTATCTTGACTTCCTGAGCGATCAGAAAGGAACATTAATTCTACGGGCAATACTAGTTAAATGACTTCTGTCCTAAGATAGCACCACATGGGGCCGAGGGTCTGGACCAGAGAGGCACCTTGTTACAACTTGCTCAGCTCTCTGGGCCCCGTCTGGGCTTTGTGGCCCAGGTGGGCGAGCTGTTGCTCGATGAGGCCGGAGAGACGTTCGCTGAGGCGCGATGTCGTGGATGGGGACGCTTTGGAACAACAAACCACAAAAGGGCTGTAAGTCTCGCGCCACCGAGTCTCTGAGATGGAGAGAGCAGGACCGCTTGGCAGGAGCGGCCCGTCTGTGAGCAGAGGGTGCGGTCGCCCACACGAGCCTCCTGGCCAACCACAGCCTGTGGGGAGGGCGGCGTCCTTGGCAGTGACACGCATCAGCACGGAGTTTGAGAAGTGGTCGAGGTGAGCACCCTTACCCCTACCGGTGACTCGCACGTAAAGTTGAAAGAACGCCGTTACTTTAATTGGAGGTCGCTCTGTAGGGTGTCCCTGAGGCTCCCTGTGCCTGTGTTCTCCCTCGCTTGTCACCATTCGTAACGGAAGTACACGTGCGTTTTCAGCATTGCGTTGGGTATTGAGAGTTCTGTCTTCCTTGGTTCCCTGCTTAGCCATATACTTGTGCATGTGTCAGAAGTAAATAGAAACTATTTTTTTACAACAAATACGTTGCAAAAGGAACAGAAGGAGACCTGGGCCTTCAGAGCGTGAGGGCTGCCGCTTCCTGCGGGGTGGGGGTGTGGGGCGGTGCCCACGTGAAGCTGCTGTGGGGGTGGGGGGTCCCCCTTCCATCTCCCCGGGGTCGGCAGAGGTGGCGGGCAGGCCCCGGGCCGGGCTTGGGGCCTGGGGACTGTTTACCCCGTGACTTGTCAGGAGTCTCAGGGTGTAACAACAGCCTTATTTGCCTAAGTGATTTGAAATAATTAAAAGTACTTGAGGGACCTCACCTTCCTGGAGCTAGAGAGCGCCTTGGTCAGTGTACAGTGCGGAGTATAATCCCACTTTGAAAGAGCTACTACGTAGATAACAGGTTTTCTAATCGTTTCTGGGGTTATACGCTGAGTTGAAAAGTTAGGTGAGCAAGCAGCCTGTTTATCCTGGGCCTGTGCACTTCCCAGTGCCGCTCACCGTGCGACTGACTGAGCGCAGGGCCCCGCGCTGTTCCGGACGTTTGTGGTGTTGCCTCACGATGTGGGTGCCTTACGTATACCAGGCCGGAGATGATGTTTGTTTTAAGAAACAAAACGTCGTCTCTTCTCAATTGCGTAGTGTCTGCCCTGCGCACGTGCCTGTGAGCTGGGCTGTCTGTGTGTGAAGACAGAAGGACAGTCCCGCCATTGGAGCCGTGCCGGCCCGGGAAGTTCTGTTATCTTGGAAGCAAAACACCAAAACATTTCCCAGCGCGCAGCGGCCTTTCAGCTTCAGAGGGAAGCGGGGCAAGGTTGCCTGTAGCTATCAGTTTTCCTGAATCCAAAGAGACGGGTGGGGCAGGATCAAAAATACTCATTTGATCAAAGTTATTGGCTCTGAAGTCATTCTGACCGACGTAAGGAAGATGAAAGGTATTGTTTTTATTGCACGCTAGTAACAGTGTAATTTTGAACTAATTGGTGTTGAACTGCCAGTCACCTAGGGGAATGCAAATAGATACTCTTACAGTTCCCTTTGAGGTAGGGAAGCCTTGTGTCGAGGCTGGAAGGAAAACAGAATAATACCGTTAAATTGACCTTAAATGAGCTGCCTTGTGGTTGTCTTGGAGAATCCCTTTTTATTTTTCCTGACTAGTCCAAACAGGTTTTGTCTACCAATTTGACTTAGTGCTAGACAAAGCTGACGGTGAGCGTTTGGATTTGTTTTGAAATAAAGTAGTGATAGTACAATTCTTCAGGATATTGTGGTGATTCGGTTGGTGCAGCTGAAGTCTTGAAACATTCCAGGACTTGTTTGCAGTTGCCATGGCTCCTCCCAGCAGCCGACACCGCCCTCTGGTCACTGAGGGTGCGCGCTGGCTGCCCCAGAAAAGGCTCCCTATCCCTGGAGGTGGTGCCGCGCCCAGTGCCGGGGCCGGGGGCTCTGAAGTCTGTCGTTTCCGACGAACCTAGCCATTTAAAAAAAGCGCGATTCTGAGGACAGTAAGAATGTTTTCTCAATGTCTGTATGATGTCAGCATATATTAGCTGCCTACTGTGTGCTTCGTACTGTGTTACCCAAAGGAAACCCGCGGCACTTCGGAAAGAGCGCTTTTGTTGTCCGTTGAAAACAACACGCGACCTGGTCTGGGCCTTTGCGCGGGGCTGCGGAGACCCCGAGCCCGCAGAGCAGGCGGGTCTGCTGTGGTTTGGCGGTGGTGGCCGTGGCGGCGCAGCTTGCTCTGGCTCGCCTGCCCCTGAGGCCCCCCCCGCTGCTCCGCGGACTGTTTCCATGGCCCCGCTCTGGCTGCGGGAGCAATGCTTCCCGCCGCATCGGGGGGAGGGGGGCGGGTTGTCGGCTGCGGGTGCGCGTGGTATCGGCCGGACGCAGCGGGTCCGCGAGCACTGCCTGCGGAGGCACACGGAGCCGCCTGTGCAGAGGGACGAAGAGTGAAATGTGCTCGCCAAGGCCGTTCGCTTCCAAGGCGCTTGGAAACCGGGCGGTGCTGAGCCATTTCCTGTAACTCTCCTTGGCATGTGGCAGTGTCCATTAACGGGGTAACTTAATTATTTCCCTTTCTGCTCTGGCTACCAGAAACCCTAAACTAAATTTGTAGTTAAAATTGAGTCGTTTCGGGACACGCTCCCTGAGGCTCTCTGCGCTCTCTCCACCCCCGTTCTCTTAGAGATTGCACGCTGACACCCGAGATGATCGCGCTCCTGTTCCGGGGACACCGCAGGCCGTCCCAGGGCGTCCCAGGCCGCGGCTCCCCCGCCGAGAGGTCCCAGGCCGCGGCTCCCCCGCCGAGAGGGGCCGGGAGTCCTGCCTTCAGTGAAGGGCGGGGGCGGCGCTGCCCTCCCCTAGGGACCTGGGAAGGGCCGTGGGCTCAGAAGAGGGGCCCCGCGTCCCCTAGCGCGCTCGCATCCCGAGGTCCGCCCGCGGGCGCGGGCCCTCTGCCCTCAGTCTCTGCATTTGCGGGGTGTGGGGGTGCCGCTGGCACCCCTGGAAACCCTCAGTGCGAGGCTTCTGCCTCCCCAGCCTGTGTTTCTGCCCACGGCATCCCCGTCCCCAAGAACGAGGACTGCTGGGCCCTCCTGACGGTTTGTCACTGTTGAGGGACTCTCTGACCTAATTAGGGGTGCAGGGCACAGCAGCAGCGGACGAAGGAAAATGGCCCCTCCTTGCAGGCTGGAGTCCTCAGCCGACTGCAGGCCCACGTCCAGTGGTGGGTGGCGGGCGCAGGTCAGCCCTCAGAGCAGCTGTGTGTGCAGCTTTAATTAGCGTCTCTCCTCTGTTTCTTAATGGAAGTAAGGCAGGTAAAAACGAGAACGTGAGATGTAAGTCACAGGACGGAACTTAAGTTATAAAGCTTCAAACACAAAGAGGGCCGTCACACGGTGACGGAAGGCGTGATGCGGGCGGGTGCGGCGCGGGGACAGCGCAAACCCGGGCGGGCGCGCGCGCGCTGCGAGAGCGAGCCCGCACGCTAGCGGGCCCAGCGGAGTGACGTTGCCGTGGGCGTTTTAATTGTCTATTTCAGAATTCAGCAGGTGAAATAGGAAGAATTTGGAGATGTGCAAACCATCAGAGACAAGCGGAAAACATGAACAGGGAAAATTAATGTGTCGGATAAACATGAAAAGATGCTCAGACACACTTAGGGAAATGCGTGTTAATGTAACAACAAGGAAACGCTTTTTAAATCAAACTGGCAAAAATTTAAGAGTGACTAACATCCGGTGCCAGGGAAGATACTTCAAAATAGGTGCTTCCAAAAGCTGTTGATAGAAATGTAAACAATCATGTTAATTAGCGACTGTGATACATTATACTTCTGGGGAAGTGGACTGGAAAGGCGTGTTGTTTGGGAAGGCGCACAGCCTTTGCCCCAGCAGCCTGAGCTTCGGGAACCCGTCCTGCGGAGATGAGAGTCAGGACGCGCTGGACGCAGCCACAGAAACGTTCATTGCAGCATCGCCTGTCGTGACAGGAAGCCGAGGGGACCCCGAGTGGCCACACGTGGAGTCGTTTTGAATGAAGCGGAAGTGTGTCCGTGCAGTGGGATGCCAGTCAGCTGCTGAGGGCTTGACACTTGTCCCCGTGGGCGTGCGATCGACTGGGAAGGATGGGGTGGAGTTATGTGTCCGACCGCCCGCTCCTACAAACTGGGTGACAAAAGCCCCGCGCGCAGGGCGCTGGGGAGGCGCGGAGGCGGCGGAGCGCGCGCGGCGTGGCGGCCGTTGCCCCGGGGAGGGCGGGGTGCAGAACAGAGCCTGACACTCTCTTGCTTCATAATAAGCATGTGATACTTTTATAAATAATAAAAATAGTAGATCAAATAAGGATTTTACCAAAGTAATACATTTCCTAGGAAACGTGGAGAACTTGGAAGCTTTAAGTAGTAAAAAATGGGTGTACTTCCCTGTGAATCACAGCAGTGTTTGTGTTTATTCTGCACGGTCTGGATTTGCACGGCGCTAGTTTTGTGTTCTAATTCGGTGTTTTTATGCTCTAATTCTGTTCTGTCCTCTCAGGGCTTCTGTTGTTACACTTCTGAACCACTTTTGCTTTTGGCAGGACTGTCTCCGTCGGTGGAATACAATGTAGTGGAGTTGGAACAAGAACTTGAAAATGTAAAGGCTTTGAAGACAAAATTAGGTACAGTATGTTTTTCCCTTGACTTTCCTATCTGAAATACTAAAAAATTATGAACTCTGTGTTTATGTTACAAGCTTTCATTCTCTCCAAGGCCATCGACGAAGACCGTGTTTTAGTGTGGGGGGAGGGCGAGCACGTATGTACTCACGGTCGTTTTGTACGGGCGCAGAATGGACTTTGAAATCATACTCCTGCTTACAGGTGCGGCTGCATTGTCTTTTCGCTGCGTAATTCCCGGCAAGTAGTCATCGCCCTCCTTGCCTTTTCCTGCCTCTGTCGTCTTTTCAGATCTCTTTATCATTGATTCAGAACAATTTGATTGTGATGTGCCTTTGAGTAATTTTCTTTCTGTTTCTTGTCCTTCGGGTTCATTGATTTCTTTTTGACCTGGGAATGTACAGTTCTCATCTAGTGTGGAAAATATTTGCCATTATTTTTCCAAATATTTTTCCTTCCTCTGCCTCCGCCTCCCTGTTCAAGGACGCCGTGAAGTTGCCCCTGGCTCAAGGACGGCCCTTTTTCATGGCTTCTGTTCCCTGGGTGTTTCAATTTGGGGAGCTTCTCCTGCTCTGTAGCCGTGCTCGCTGACTTTCCTCCTGCGTGCCCAGCCTGCCGTGAACCCCGCCGGGGGTCCTTCCGGTCTCAGATGCTGCAGTTCTCACCTCCAGCAGTTCTGTTTGGACCTGGCTTACATCTTCCGTTTGTCTAATTAACGTGTTCAGTGCGTGTGCTCCGCCTTTTTGAATATCCGGGATACAGTTATAACAACACTTCCAATGTTTTTGTCTGCTAATTCTAACATCTGTGTGTGTTCTTGAGAAGTTTCAGTCCATTGAGTCAGTGTGTTTTTGTGCTTTTTTGCACGCATGGGAGCCTTCGCCCACAGAGCAGACGCCGTGTGGCCTGCGTTGCCTTGTGTTGGTGTTGCTGTGCCCCAGCGAGCGAGGGACGCGGCTCTAGGATGCAGTGAGGCGCGTGGAAGCCCTTGGGCGCTGCCAGGTCTTGCCCCGAAGGCTCATGAGGCTGGGCTGCAGTGGCGTTTCATCTGGGGCCGGGGCCCCCTGTGTCCTGGGGGGCGGGGGGGGGCGCAGCGCGATTCTTGGCCCTTCGTCATGGCTGGATGCCGCTCCTCCCCCTCGTTCCGGGTGGTCCTTCGTGAGCCGGGGGCTCTCTCTCCTCCCTGGGGCCAGTCGTTGCCCTGCCCCACCCAGGAGCGTCCTGTGCGCGGCCGCCTCCGCTCCAGCCTTGGCCCGGGGCCCGGCTGCCCCCATCTCCCCAGACCCCCGCTGCGTGGCCTCCACCCAGGACGCGCTGGGCCCGCGAGGGTCCTTGTCCCTGCGCCGTGGCTGGGCGCGCGGCGCTTGTCCTGCTTGTGCCCCCCTTCCCTCAGTGACCGGTGTTCAAAGGCCTTGGAAACCGCCATGTCACATGCACGTAGTTTTCGGTTTCTTTTGTTACTGTCGTCCCAAGCAAAGCCCAGTGTTAGTTGTTGAAAATCAGATATGCCGTTCCCCCACGTTCATTTTGGTGACATGGTTACGTTGCCAGAACTTAGGTTCTTCCTCTGCTGTTGCCGGATACGAGGCGTGTCTCCAGCCTGGTGCTGTCAGGAATAACGCCTCGTGGTGCACGTGGAGGTGGGGGCCCTGCGTGTGTGCGTGCCCGGCTCCTCTGCTGTCGCCGCGCTGCCGTCCAGGCGGCTGTGCCACCTGGCCTCCCCGCGGGCCCCTGTCAGGCTCCCTGCCACCCCTTGTCCCTGCCCACGCTGGGCCGTGCTGGGCCCGTGAGCTGTGCCCGTTGGTGCCTCTGATTGGGTGTTTCATTTTGCATGACCTTGATGTCTGTTTCCAGCGTTCATTTGGCGTCTGCTTGAAAAACATCTGTAGTGTTTCCCTGAGTGCTGGTTTGCTGGCCATGAGTTCTCTCTCAGTTTTTGTTCATCTAAAACATTTTTACCTTGCACTCTTGTTTGTAGGGCATTTGTACTGAATTTGGAATTCTTAGGGGTAGTTTTCAACTTTGTAAAGATGTCACTCCAGTGTCTGGTGTCTCCTTCAAAGTCGTATTATTGCCCTTTGGAAGGGCTTTTAACATTTTCTTTTGTCTTCGTCTTTCTACCAACCTGTCTTCTACTTCATTGTCTTTTCGGCTGCTGTAATTGTCTTCAAAACTATCAAACTCTTACTCTTAGTTACAGTATTTTTGAGTTCTAGAAATTACATTTGATAACTCTTCTAGATTCAAATTGTGACATTTGCCATGTCGTCATTTCTCTTATTGAGCATATTAATCCGTTATTTTAAGGCCATTTACTGATAAGTCTAATATCTGGGTCACCCACACGTCTGTTGTCACGGTCTGTTTTTGCGGGGGGGGGCCCTACCCCTGGTCCCGTTGGATTGAACGCTGGACACGCCTTCGGTGTAACTGCAGAAATGTGGACGGTGGGCTGCTCTTTGAGAGGAATTAGTTCTGTTTCTGGTGGGCAGTCAGGGCAAGGACAGGATCCGTTCTCTCTGTCCAGGTCTGAGGCCACCCAAGACTGAGTTTTGTTCTCCGCCGGGGCTGGTCTGGTGCCGCGCGGGCCTTGCTCCTGGGACGAGGCTTCCCCTGGGGCCCGAGAGCCAGCCATGGGCGCGGCTGTCACGCCGTCCTCCTCGTGGGCCTCGAACACCGGCTTTCCCCGCAGGCAGCGGAGCCTGGCGGGGCTTCCCCTGCGTCTCTGTCCCGTCCGTCCTCTAGGCCGTTGCCAGGGAGCCTGGAGGGACTGTGACCGCCCGTCAGACTCTGGTCCCCTCCCTTCTTCTCCCTGATCCCAGCCGCTCTGATCCTGGCCGCCGGGGTCGCCCCAAGCTCCCGCCTTCGTCCCCTGGGCCCTGCCAAGTGTGCGGGGAGCTCACCGCAGCCCAGGGGCTTTCTCCGCCCATGGTTTCTGCTTGGTCCTCAGCCCCGCAGGCCTGGCCGGTGCCCCCGGAGCACATGGGCGGGGGGCACGTTCCTCTCCAGTTCTGTCACGACCGCCGGCCCTCAGCTGGACTGTCGGGGAGCTCTCTGGCGCCTCCTCCAGATTTAGTAGAGAGCTGCTTGGCTCCATCTGCTCGGCCCGGCGTGGTGGGCCGGCCGGGGCGGGCGTCTGCCCGGGGAGACAGGGCGGTTGTCTTTGGGGCGTGAGACTGGGGGGGGGGCGGGGCTTGCACTGCTGCTACTGTATTCAGTCGCCTCCGGATCCGTGTGTAAATCTTTGTCCAATACAAATATTTCTGTATTTTCGGAGCAAGCTGTTTATTAACAGGGTATTTCATTAAAGAGTTAAAATTCAAATAGCACAGGATTGAGCTGTTTAATGTAGCAATCTGATTTTAAAACTCTGATTTTTGTAATTTGTAAAGGAAATTTTTAAATAATTTATATTTTAAAGAAATTATGTAAGAGTAATACGTACTAGGTATAGTAGCAAGGAATAAAAATGTGCGTCTGGAGGGAACTTTTGGCAGCTCCTGACACCTTCTGTCGTGTGGGTTCTCCTTCTATTAGAGAGACGGAAAGGGGCATCGGCCTGGGAGCGGAACCTGGCGTACCCGGCCGTCCTGCTCGTCCTCCTCGCTGAGACGGTAAGCGCCGCGCCGGCCCGAGTGCGGACGCCAGCAGGTTCGCGTCACCCCCTGCGGACGGCCGCCCCCAGCTGAGGGGTCCAGGAGCACGGGTTTCCTACCAGGGCGGTTGCAATGCACCTAAGTCTTTATTTGTAAAAACGTGATAGAGCAAAACTGAAAGTCAGCGGTGGCTTAAGAAAGTCCCCCGCTCGCCTGTCTCTTCAGGGAAGCAGGAGATCCATCCCCTTGTTCCGCTGAAGATGCAGGAGAGACTCGGTGCCGCAGATGCTGCTTCAGACCCTGTGACGGGGCAGCACAGTTTTGTTCGGAAATTAGTTTTGATAACATTTTAACTCTTTAAAGAATCGGTGCGGTTTTGGAGTTCCAGTTGGTGAAGTCAGTTAGGAAACGGATCTGTATTATTAGTTTTTATCCCAAGAATTGAAACTGTAGTAATTTGCAGAATCTTCTAGACTTTATCCTGGACTTTTTGAAGATAGTCCGGTTACTTTAGGTTTATGCGTAGAATTTTTTTCTTGACTCTTTTCCTCTCTCCTGAAGGACAGAGTCGTGTGGTCACTTAGGGGTCGATGTATCTGTACTGGCAGAATAGCTTTGAAATGGAGGACTGACGGCTGCCTGTCTGTGTTGCAGTCCGTTTCGGTCCTGCTGGTGGCCTGCAACATCCTCCGCCTGCTGGTGGACGAGACGGCGATGCCGAAGGGGGCGCGGGTAAGTGCGGCGCTTTGAGGCGTCTGTCTCCTGCAGGCGCGTCCGCGCACACACTGCCTCGGATGAGCGGCGCAGACAGTTGCCGCTGCCCGCACACGCCATCCGTTGTGTGGATTTCTGGACGTGTGGAGCCTTTACAAACGGGGTTTTATAAATAAGATTCTTGCTTCTGATCTCTTGCTTTGGATTGGCTGGGCCTTTTATCAAGAACGAGGGTTTCCCTTTACACTCTCTATCAGGATTTATCTTGGTTCACTGAACCTCGCTACCTGCGACTCTGAAGTAACAGCCTGCGAAGAGGTCGCCCAGTGGGGTCGCTGGGTTTGCGAGAGATTCGAGGGCGAGGCCGATAGCGGTCAGGCACGGGCGGCGGGCCAGAGGCGGGGCTTTCCCCGATTCACTTAGTTTCCTCCCTTGTTTAAAAATGGGTAATTTTATTAAATTCTGTCAATTAGCTGATTTGAATATATTCTCCCCAAAGAAGTTAATCACCACTAAATATTCTTATTTGGCATAATTTTTCTAGGTGTCTCTAAACTTTTGGATATTTCAAGTAGCATTTAGGTTGTGGCATTTCATTGTGCTTTTCGAAGTCAGCTGCTTCCCCATCCCCGTAGGAGAGACTCCAGGATTCTCAGACCCCCGATGCACTTCCCTCTTGGAACCAGGCGGTGCCCCCACAGAGGAGAGCCCTGTCTGCCTTGAGCCCTCCCCTTGAGCCCCGGCGAGATCCCTGTTCTTTTCCCTGCAAACTCTCTTAGCCGCAGTCCCGGGCGGGATCCCCTCACGGGCTCCAGGGCCTCGCGCCATTGGCTCCTGCCACCGCCGGTCCGCCAGCGTGGGCCCGCCCACGGCCTCCAGTGCCTCCTTCCAGGGGCAGAGGGTGGCCTTCTCACCCACGGCCTGGCCTCCGGCTCTGCCTGAGACCCAGCCCCCCTGACAGAGCAGGAAGCCCCCTGCGGTGTTGCCGTCCACCTGCGTTTCGGCCTGTCTTTACGGACCGTGCTCCAGCCGAGTCCTGAGCCCCACGGCACGGCTTTGGACTGTCCCCTCAGTGCCCCGTGGAGGGGGGCCTGCGCCCGGGAGGCCCCTGGGCGACTGTGTAAATAAGCCGGGCCACCCTTCTCTCGAGCCTGGGAATGTTTCCAAAATGCTTCCCGTCCCAGCTGTCGGGGAGGAAGATTTTTCTTCTGCTCTTCTAGGTTTTCTTGGCTGGTCTCAGAAGCAGAAAAACAGGAGAAAATCAAATTGAATGACATACGTACATGAGGAGGCCCCCTGGAAATGGGACCTCAAGAAATGGTCAAAGCATATAAATACACACCAGGAGCCAAGCTGTCCATGCGCCCTTTTTAGACAAAGAACAGTCACTCGGGAAGACTGCGTGAAGCGGAGGGTGTGTGTGTCGGGTGAGGTCCTGGTGAAGACGCAGCAGGGTCTGGCCCGTGGCCTCGCCCGAGTCCCCTCCCTCCGGCGCAGGGGCGCCACGTGCCCCCAGCGGAGGGCGCGCGCTGCTTGTGTTGGGGGCACAGAGGTGGGCCAGAGTGTCCTGGCGCCGGCTGCCCCTCAGGAGCTGACGGGGAGGCCCCGGCGCGTTGGGGGCGTCCGCCCGGAGCCCGGCGCAGTCCGAGCGCGTGTCTGTTTCTCCTCCAGGAGGCTGGCGCAAAGCCGGTGGACTCTCTGCCCTTGCCTGGGTTGTACCGAAGTTGCCGTGGGTGTACGTACTTCTCTGCACCTGAATTAAAATGGATACAAGACATTCCATTATTTATTGGTGTATTTGTTGTTTTCCTAGTATAACTGTACGTTCTGAATTATTCTGGTGTTTCCTTCCGTTAGATGTGATAGAAGCTGATAGTAAAATACGTCATTCACATTCATATATAGCTCCTTTAGTAAGTGAGCTGTGAAAATACTGTTCCCACTTCAGTAAGAAGTGATTGTTTGGTCTCATTGACATATACTACTTTTCTCATCGTTGTAGTTTTAAGTCTTAGATAAAGGTAGGTTTTCAGAATTGGAATAACATTTAGGAAAAAATTTATAACATGACATTAAAAAAAAACCTGGGTTCATTACGTTACATCTTTTAAAACTCTGAATTTCCCAGGAAGGTTGGGGTCGGGAGCTCCCCCGGGGAGGACCAAGGCCGTGCACAGCCACTCTCTTTCTGTGCTTGGCTGACTTTAAGTGTGTAATTTTTATATGTTGCCTCAGGATAGAGATAATTCTATACCTTACTCCTATTGTACTATTGTATTTTTAAAAGACTTCTTCCAGGACTGTTCAGGATTTCACACTAAGCATAATCATATTATTTTGATACGTAACTTAAATTTGAGATAGATCAGAAATGGCTCAAGCTTGTTGAAATTGTTAACATGGGGTTGCGTTAGTTGATGAACTTGGGCCGATGTCTCGTTTCGTTGTCCCTTAAGCCCAGAGGTCATCCCAGGGTGTTAGGCGCCCCTCACCGCAGGCGGCCCCTGTGTGCGGAACCGCAGCCGCGGGGACCGAGCGCGGCCCAGGCGCCGAGCTCTGACCGTGTCCTTCCCGCAGGGGCCCGGCATCGGGAGCGCCTCCCTCTCTGCGTTTGGCTTCGTGGGAGCCGCGCTTGAGATCATTCTGATTTTGTATCCTTTCTTTCACCGCCCCTCCTGTCTGTCAACAAGCGTTCTGTCTAGTTTTCTGGGACAGTGGCAGTTCACTAAGGCACTTGCCCAGAAGGGAAAACAAGCCCTTCTGCCCCGGCGCCCCCGGGGCCTTCGGCTTTGTTGCACGGTTCCTCTGGGCCCCCGGACTTCGGGAGGCCACTGAGAGCGGGCGCGGCGGGCACGCTTGGGAGGTTTCTTCCTTGATTCTCACAGCTATCTCCTGGTGTCCTCTGTCGTCGGCTTCTATAGCCTCCGGGTTTTTGGAGACTTTATTCCCAAGAAGGATGACACAACCATGACAAAGGTAAGGTCAAGTCTCAGGCCACAGGGCCTCCCCTTTGCTTTGCAGACCCTACTGCTTTATTGAGTAATCGCCCCGAAGGCCTCTTTTGCCGTGATAGGCATTTGTTTGTAAGTTGCGTAAACACAAACTGGAAGATGTTCAAGGCGCTGAGCGTGTGGGAAAAGGCTGCGCTCTGTTTACCTTGGACGGCGTCCGTTCGCCTGGGAAGGCGCGGACGCAGCGCCTGTTCGCTGGCTGCGGAGCGCCCCTGAAAGGGCCCTTTCTCCCCGAGGAAGACTTCCTGCTAATGAGCCACTCCGGCGGCGCTTCAGGGGGCTTGTCTGCATCTGAAGAACCCGGTTGCTGCAAGGAATGGAGACCAAGTATTTCAAATCTGAATAATTAAAGCAAGACAGACGAGTTCTGTTCAGAAACGTCGTAGTCTGGGGCTGCTGTGACCGTCTGCAGTGTGTCCTTGGCTGCAGGGCCGCAGGGCCGGTGCGCAGGGGCCGCGGCTCTGTGGGACGCTCCCACAGGCCGACAGCGAGCAGCGCTGCGCAGGCTGCCGCGGCTCCCCTGGTTCTCTGTCCCCTGCTGTCACCCTGTTTTAAGAGAGGACTTGTTTTCTATGTATTTCTTTTTGTCTGTGTATAGCTATCTATTGATCTATCGAAAATACTGTGAGTTCTTGAGATACTTTGCATGTAGCTTATGTGATCACAAGTGTTAATCAGCATTTTCAGCCCTTGTTTATCATGAAAGAATAAGCACAGGTTGCACTGAAAAGGAATTACTAGAACTTATGTGTTTTGAACTTGAAGCTTTTTGGTGTTAATATCTTTTAATAATTAAACATACTAGAAGTAGATCTTACATATATTTCGAGCAGCGCTTGGCTTTAAAAAGAGAGAAATACTAAAAGTATGCATTTTTTTGCTTGATCAACAGGCAAGTCCTTTTGAAATTGGCAACCTCGATCAATAATGTAAAATGCATTGCCTGAGGTAGAAAGTGACATGAGCATTCTGTAAATTTCTACTTGTGCCAGGCACTGCAGGTGTTTTCTAGAACTTACAGGTAGAACTTTAAAGGCTTGTGGACAGTTTCTTATTGGTAAACTTGGTGACGAGTGGTGTGTCTAAGAAGTTAGCCGAGTGGAGCAGGGGCCTGAAACGTGCAGTGACTTCCCTGAAGGTGACGGTCTCGTTTGTCTCCCTTTGCTGGCTGCCACCTCCGCGCCCTCGCCCAGATCATCGGGAACTGCGTGTCCCTCTTGGTCCTGAGCTCCGCGCTGCCTGTGATGTCGCGGACGCTGGGTGAGTCCACAGGGCTGGGGGAGGGGCGGGGGGTCGGGGATGCCCTGAGCTTCCTCCGCAGCCTCAGTCTCTAAAGGCCGGTTCCCTCCCATGTACTTTATGCCTTTATTCCTGTACTTTGTTATACAGGGGGCACCGAAAAGTACTTTCATCAGGGAAAGACTGTTTATTTTTTTAAGTATTTAAAAATATGTCTTCTCCAAATAATGGACTTTTTTGTTCACTGACTAGTTAAGCTCTTGAGTCTCTACTGCGGAAACTTTTTGTTTTAAGTGTTTAATGTGTGGAAAATACTAAACTAATTTTTCTTCCCTGAAATGTTTTAAAAACGTGCACTATGTGGTTTAGAAAACTGAAAATCCACCTGACTTACCTTGAGCCGCTTTGCGTCTGGGCAGTGGCCTCGCGAGCCGCAAGGGCTCAGGGGGAACACGCCCACACAGGGTGCCCTCGCTCCGGGCTCCCACCTGCCCGCCCGCCTGAGGTCCCCCCCGTTTTCAGCGGACGGAATCGTGGTCGTGTTTAGAGGTAAAGCGCGCCCCTCTGTCGCGGGAGTGGCTGGTAGCCTCCGCTCGGCCTACGTACCGCTCGCTGAGCACTGAGTGGCTGCCGCGCCGCCCGGGGCGCGCCGCGTGGCCAAGTGTCCGCAGGCGGCACATCCGTGGGCGGCCCCGTCGGCCCTCCAGGCTCGGGGTCTGGCCCGGGAGTGCTCGCAAGTAACTGGGGAGCAGCCCACCGTTCCCGGCGGAGTCACCAGCAGCCCCGCTGCTTCGCTCTGGCTCTTGCGCTGTGTTGCTGTCTCTTCGGCCCCCGGCAGCCCGTGCTGTGCACCGCAGGCAACCTCAGCGCCGTGGCTTTGCCGGCCCTGCGGACGTGCCCCGGGGGCAGAGCGCCAGGCCTCTGTGTGGGTGGGAGGGGGCTCCGCCTTGTGTAGCTGGACGCGCAGCCAGTTGCTGTCCTGTGTGTGGTGACAGCCCAGCAGATTCCCCCTGTGCTGTTGCCGCCACGGTGCCCCGGTGCTGTTTATGGAACTCCCTGTGCTCTGTTGCTTAGAATGCTTGATGGCAATACGTGCTGATTTTAGGGAAGAAAATCACATGCTGAGTATAGTTTTAATACAAAGAAAAATTAATGGCAAAATTTGCTTTTGAAGATCAACCCTTTACATTCCTGAGTAGTTTGCCATAGAGACAGGGAACAGAGAGAGACAGAAAGATGGAGCGAGTAAAACGCAGCCGACAAGCGCCGGGCCCAGCTGACCAAACAGGATTAACGGGGCGCAGGGGGCGCGGGTCACGTGCGCTGTGTGCGCCGCACGCCGGCCATGCCGGCGGCTCTGAATAGATGAAAGGGAGTCGGTGCGCTGCGCAGAGTCACGGGGGCTTTCACCGCGCGACAAAAGCAGATTTCTAGACCAAAAGAAAAAGCTTTATTTTAGCATTATGGGAAATGCAAACCTAGAGTTACTTTGTAATTCCTCTATTAAGTCTTTGGAAGGGAGCCTTTGATTTTAAGAAGATAAAATACAGAGGATTGTCGCGAATATTATCCTGCCGTAGAGCGGGATTTGGACGTACTTGCTGAACAGCTCGTCAGGCTGGAACCGAGGCCGTGCTCAACAACCGAAGCCGGGCTTCGCTGCCCCCCACCGGCCGGTCGCCCGGCCTCCGGGCACGTGGGGCGAGCGCGGTGGCGTCCCTGTGGCCCTGCGGCTTTTCTGTTCTTTATAAATTGAAAATATATTGAACCCTGCACAAAAAATTGATTTGGTGTTCTCTGATTTGTTTTCTTTTAAAATTTGCCAGCTGCTCTTGTTGCTGTCTGGTCGGCATAAATTGTAGCTTTAGTCTCAAACGTCTGGTGTGATAGGACACACCTATTAAAGAATTCCTTTGGAATAGCTTACATTTAAAAATGGCACTAATTGAAAAATTAGTACTAGTGGCACTAATTGAAGCATTGCTGCTAAGCAGATTTTATAAGCATATCACTTGCCACAAAAATTTGTGAGACAAATTTTCACCATGTACTTTTAGTCAATGTAACTAAAATAGGTGATAGTTTTGTTATTTATAGGAAACACAAAAAAACATTGTTTGTGGCCCATTCAGACTTCGGTTTTGAAGAACCAGCGTCTGGGGGACTCGAGGCCCGTGATTTTAGTGAACGACCGGCCCTCGAGGTGATGAGAGGGGACCGTGGGCAGGTGCCATCAGGCGCGGTGGCCGCGGAAGGGACCCACGGCGGCCCAGACTTCTCTAGTGAGATGTCGGGGGGACGCCGGGGCCTTTGTAAGAGCGGATTTTATCTGCTTGCTGACGTGTTCTTCATTGTGCTTGGTCAAGAAACAGTGGAGAGAGTGCCCGTGTTTTGCGTTCTTTCTTTGAAGTCTCCTTTAACCAGAAAACTTTTCTCAGCTGTAACCACAGGCCTTGCAGTACTTCTGCTAGTTTCTGCACTGTTTATTTTTATGGTTATTTTTTCGTCCTTAGAGTCTTTCTGTGACTTGGTAGTTATGCAAGGCACAAAGGCAGATTTTTAAAAAGGTGCTTGTGATATGAATTCAAAAGCACTTGCCATCGTGAATCAGCTTGAATGTATTTCTATCATATGCACACATTTCTCATCAGGGTTCCGTATGGGCCATCATCCTGCAGGAGGTAAAGTGGATTGTTCTCTTTTGTTCTTTGATGAAGGGATCCTGTTTACGTCCCCTCCTTTTGGAGAGGTTTTCACTCGGGGCTTGGTAAACACAGGGCTCACGTTCCCCCTGGGCTTCCCCCCAGGTCTCCGTGTGAGGCTCGGAGATGAGGAAGGTGAAATGGAAGTGCACCTTGCAGCCCACACCCCTGGTTAGTCTGATGCTCATCGGTCCGACGGCGCCTCCGTGGCCCCGGCCGTCTGCGGCCCCACGTGGCACTCTGGTCCCGACTGTCTGCGGTTCTTCCGTGTCTTCCTTGGCACCTGTCGGCAGTGCAGGGGGTTGGCAGACGCCGGCCCTTCGCCTGCTCCTTGCAGCGCGCGTGGGGCATGGCACCCACTCCGCGAGGAGCGAGGAGCGTGGTCGTTTCCGTTTCAGTTCTCTTTCTCAGTGAGAGGACTTGTTTTTCTAAAGTGACTGAGATGCAGCGTGGGGCCCCGCCCTGCGCTCCAGCGCCGCCCCGTGTCTGACGCACCCCCTTCCCCCCGCCCCGCCCCCGTCCCGCCCCCGTCCCGCCGTGTCTGACGGGCCCGGGGCATCCAGCTGAGATGGGTGGGTTTTTCTGGAAGTGGGACTCACCTGTGGTTTATTGGCCGATGTGGCAAGCGCTCCGTGCACGCGAGGCGGCGCCCTTGGTGCCGGGGTCGCGGGTGTGGGAAGGCCTGGCCTGTGTTTGTTCTCACAGGGCACTCGGCCCGGTCGGGGGAGGAGGCGGTGCAAGGGCGCAAGGAAGAAAACTGCTCCAGTCGCACGTGCGGCGGCGCAGCAGGATTTGGCCAGACGGCGAGGGGCCGCTGTCTTTGGCGGGGATAGTGCCCTCTTCGGGGAGCGGGGGCTTTGAACAGGGACCTGCAGGGACCGGCAGTGCACCCCGCCCCCTCCTGCCGGAGCGGAGCTCTACGCGGGTGGGTGGGTGGGTGGGTACCCGTGGCTGAGGCAGCGGCCGGCTCGCCCTGGCTTCGTGGTGCCTGCGACCACGCCGTCCCAGCGTCACGGAAGCCGCCTGTTTGTTTCCCATAGGAATCACCCGGTTCGACCTGCTGGGGGACTTCGGAAGGTTCAACTGGCTGGGGAACTTCTACATTGTGCTGTCCTACAACCTGCTGTTCGCCGTTGTGACGACCCTGTGCCTGGTCCGGAAGTTCACCTCGGCTGTGCGGGCGGAGCTGCTCAAGGCGCTAGGTAACGCTGGCGCCTACTGCGCCCTCGCCGCATCTCTTTCCGGCGGCCCTAGCCCGGCCCCAGGCGGCGTGCCAGGCTGGGCCGAGGCCGGCGGAGGGTCCCTGCTGAGCACGGCTGGCGGGGCCTGCGCGCCCCCCCCGCCCCCCGGCAGGCGGCTGGTGGGTGCCTCCACGTCCACAGCAGCACCTGCGTGGGCTCTGCCGGCCGGCGCCCCTCACCGCCTCTGCCCCTCTCTGTCTGCAGGGCTCCGCAAGCTGCGCGTGCTGAGCGCGTCCAGGGATGCAGAGCCGGGAAAGGCGACCGCGAATGGCCGTCAGAAGGTCCTGTGAGGCCCCGTGCCGCCCCGCTTCCCCGAGACTGGCCTGGCCTTCCGCCCGCGATGCACACTTTGCCAGGGTTGCGGCCGCTGCCACTGTCTGGTCGCCTGTGAGGACTTGGCTGTCGCGGCGCCCCGTGCACTGTGCGACAGCCCCACGGTGTCCTGCCACCCGCGAGGCGGCCCGTGGGACACTCCGCTCAAGCCACCCTGTTCAGTGCGGGACGCGGAGCGGCGGTCGGGGACAAGGTCGCACTGTGCGCGCTGCCCCGCCGCTCAGGGCGCGCTCGCCAGTGGGAAACGCCGCCTGGATTCGCCCAGCAGGCTGTATGTGCGCTCAGTTTTTTAAGCTCTTTTTTCAAAAACCTATCAGCTCCTCCTGCTCCTGTGTGGGCCGGGAAACTGTGAGCGTGCCGTGGCCGCGGCCCCTGCTCCCGCCCCACCCCCTGAGCTGCGTTGCTTTTGCCAATTTAAGCCTCAGACCATGGCCGTGACCAGATCGACACCGAACACCCAGTGTCGGCACCTCGGACGTCAGAGCAGCTGCGCAGCGAGCCGGCTCCGCGGCCGCGGCCTGGTTCCGCTGAGAGTTGGTCTCTGGGCGGTTTCTGCACAGGGCCCTAACCCGGATTCTGCCATCCCGAGCTGGTGTCTGGGGGGTGTGTTCCGACAGCTGCGCTCGGGGAGCTGAGGGGCCCCCGCGGCGTCGGTTGCCCGCAGTCTCTGTCAATCCATGAACCACAGTATGTGTGTGCGCTCAGACCACAGTAAAAGAACTTCTTAAGTTGTTGCATCTAAAGCTTTTTTGAGGGGATAAATGAGAACCAGGATGCCTGTACTTGATGTAAAAAATGTCCACTTAGAGCCAAAAAAATAGGAAAAGTTAATTGGCATATGTGTATGCCCCACTGACTATACCTGTCCTTTGTTTATACCTCTGCGTTTCCTTCCGAGTCTACTGTTGAAAAAAGAACATTTCACGATTGTAAACCACTGGTTCCCGCACCGGTGACTCCGTCAGCAGAAGACCCGCTGCGGAGGAGGTCCGTGGAGGCTGGCCTCGCTGGTGTTGCTGGTACTGCGCCGAGCCAGGCATTAACGGCAAGTTTTGATTTTCCCTGACACTTGCTTGCAGTCTGTCCCGCGAGCAGACCAGGCCACCGAAGACGAGAAGGCAGCTTTCAGTAAAGGAGCATCCTGTGGAGGTTGCACCGGTTGCAGGGCACGTGCAGAGGAAGCGTTCCTGCGTGTTTGTGAGACGTCTGGATGTTTCTGAGTCAAACATTGAACTTTCCCACGTGAACACCAGGTCTCTGTTCACGGCCCGTTCCTGCCGAGGGCCTGAGTCACCCCTCAGGACCGGGAGGCAGTAACACAGCAGCCACCTCCTCACACTCCCTGCGCCTGCCCCGGGGGGCCTGCTCGTGTGCAGCCGGGCCAGGCTCTGCAGACGGCGGGCACGTCCTGGCCACGCCGTCCCCACGCCGGGGGGGGTGGGCCCGCAGCCACGCCAGGTCTGCTGCGAGAGCCTGCGACCGCTGGGCTGAGGAGGAGAGAAGCCCTTCCCGGCCCCGCAGCCGCCATCCCCAGAGGGAGCTGCGCCTCGTTACTGCTGGGGGCGCCCATGGGGGGACAGGCAGGGGTGCGCAGCACTCTCCAGAGGACCTGGCCTGCCCGTCATTAATTGGCTCTGCATATTTAAATAAATTATTTAGAAATTATAAAATCTGCAGATGATGGCATTTTCCAAGGTATTTCTTAGACTTAATGTTTACTTCACTGTGTATACGTTCCCCGTGACGTAGCCCTGCTGACATTCATGTGCACACGTGCGCGCACACTTACGTTAGCTCCTCGGTGCCGCAGGGGAGGGTCGCCGGGCCGTGTGCGTGGCCTCCCCGTGCTGCTGACTCCTGGTGCGTTCAGGGCGCGTGCACCTGCCTGTGGCCTTGGCCGCCCTGAATCGGCCCCCAGCACAGGTGCACCTGGTGAGAAGCCCCACGTGGCGTTCTTCGTTGTTTGTACCGTATTTAGTGAGTAAATGCAGAATTCTTACAATTTTTTAAAAAATAGTATACATACAGCACTGACTTTTTAAACTTTAAAAAGCCTGGTATGATGTTACTTTAAAAATGTTTGGATGCACTGGTACATTTGTTCCCAGCGTGTTTTGTTTACAGATCGTTGGTCTTGTTCTGAGGCACTTTCAGTGTGAACTTTTAAATGTCTTAGAAATTAAAGTTTTACAGATCCTACTTTGGTTTATAAGCACTGAAATGTTTTTAAAAACCTTAAATACCCTCATGTCTAAAACTCAAGGTCTATAAATGTGACTTCGTTTCCATTTTATAACTGAAGTGAGGAGGAAGTGACTTCCTTTCTGTGTTGTGGAGTTCCTGGCAGATCCATTTCTTGCAACCTGAAACACAGCTTCAGTGCTACCTTAATCCGGTGTCCGCGTGCTCCCGGTTGGTTTGCTTCCTCTGGTCTCTTCCAGGGAAGGACTGAGCCCCAGGAACTGGGGCTGAATTGGGTCTGGGCGGCTCCACCCAGAGCTCGGGACAGCGAATCACGTCAGCATCGGGTTGGGCCCGAGTTGCTTCCAAGCTTTTTGAGCAAAGGGTGAAATACCCTTTTCACTGAGACTCAATGTGCGCACGCACACGCACACGCATGCATTCTACATGTAAACAAACATTTAAGAAACAGTACCTTCTTTTACTGTGTGTCGTGTACGCTGGCGTTTTCTGTTTTGTTCGTTTTTAAATTGCTGGACACAAACCACTAAGTGGTTTCCTGCCCTCCTAGTGGATGGTAAACTTGTGACTTCGGAGTCTGAAGGAAGAACGATGAAGACCTCCCTCCCCTTGGCTTTTGAAAATGGTTCATCAGGTAAAATTTGTTATTCCAAATACCAACGAAGCAAAAGTATTGTATATGCAAGTTACAGAAGTATAATTAAAACCAGTGGAAACTGCTAAAACTCTGAAAAATGGATTATAGCCCTGGCCGGGTGGCTCCGTTGGTAGAAGCGGCGTCCCGCAGGCCGAAGGGTGGTGGGTTCGATTCCCAGTCAGGGCACACGCCTGGGTTGTGGGTTAGTCTCCAGTCGGGGTGGGAGTAAGAGGCAACCACACATGGATGTTTCCCTTGCACATTGATGTGTCTCTCCCTCTCTCCGTTCCCCTCTTTCTAAGAATAAATAAAATCCTTTAACAAAATAAAAAATGGATTGTAAAATCTCAAAACTAGGTGAGTGATCCTTATGTCTTGAAGGGGCAGAGATGGAGTTTTCAAAACAAGCGATCTGACCTCCGGTTCTCTAACTCAACGGGGAGAACCTTTTTCTGGTTCGAATGCCACCACAGAGGACGTTCAGACGAACCCAGTTCCCTCCGGGCAGGGTGCCGGTGCCACAGTCGTGGGAACGGCAGGGTTGTGACCGGCGGCCGGCCACGCCCACAGCGCCGCTCCCCCGGGCTGCGCAGCTACCAGCTCATCAGCCAGCCAGGCAGGCAGGCCCTCGTTTCCTCAACACGTGCCTTGTTCTCACCTCACGGACATGGCGAGTGTGTGGCAAACACGTCTGCCCCACCCCCGGGCCTGGGGCTGGCGCAAGTGCCCAGGTCCCCTCTGCTCGCTCCTGTCCCTCTGTCTCCGCCTGAGCTGCTTCCTCTCGTGGTCACCACAGTCCTCGGGTTGCCGGTGCGAGAAGCCCAGTTCGCAAGGCTCGGGGGCGTGTGTGTCTGGGTCCGAGTCACAGTTTGCAGCCGAGCTCTGCTGAGCACCCCCTGCCCCTGCAGACCGGCCGGCCCCCGGCCCGCGAGCAGGAAATGCAAGCTGCTTGTGACAAGGTGACAGCGAGCTCCGCTCCCTCATCAAATGGAAACGCGTTCACTCTCAAAATGGGGATGAAGCCCTGGGTTGGTGGCTGGGGGGGTGGGGCGTCACCCCGGAAACCGAGGGGCAGCAGGTTTGATTCCCAGTCGGTATGCACGGCTGGCTCGTGGGTTCCACCCCTGTTCGGAGAGCGTAGGGGAGGCAACCGATGGATGTTTCTCTCCCTTTTCTCGTCCCCTCTCTCTAAAATCAATAAACATCCTCAGGAGGGGATAACAAGATAGTAATAAAATACACCACCACCTGGAAATGTAGAAATCCTACTTTAACTGCAGAGATTTGTGGGAGGGGGTGGACCCGCACAGCATCACAGACTCGCCCTCTCCTGGTTCCCCCCCCCCCCGCCCCGTCCTCCTGTTCCCACTGGCCAGGCCCCCTGGGGCTGCGACGTAACCGGGAAGGTCGGTGCAGTCGCGGGGACTGACCCGGGACTGTGTTGCCGCCGTCAAGCTTCCCGGAGAAGCAGTGACCCCATGGCTGCAGCTGCGCGTCCTCCCGCCTTCGGTGGCCGTGCTGCTCCCCGTGGCCTTTTAGGGGGCCCACCGGCGGCCACCCCTGCTCCTGTGGCCTTCCCACCTTCGCCCTGCGGCGGCCGGCCCCGGGTTCCATCCCTCCGATGGTCCTGCGGCTAATCCCTGTGCGAGGCCGGCCCTCGGCTGAGAGAGCAGCAGTGAGCCGGCCGCCTGGGCAGGCAAGGACCCGACTGGGGGCAGTGCACCCTCGTGGGCGCGCCGGAGAGCGGGCCCAGACGCCCCGGGACAGCGCCCCCGGCAGACCTGCACTCCCACCGAGCGACCCCTCCCTCCGGCTGGCCTCTCCCTCGGGTTCCAGTCGGGCAGAGCCCCAGCCGGCCAGGCCCCGGTGACCACGCTCTGCCGGCCGGCCAGGGCCTCGTGTCTGGGGCGCCTTCTGGGCTCGCTGCTGTCCTCCGAGTCAGTCTCCGCAGTCGGTGACAGGAGCGCCATCGGCCGCGTGCCTGAGCCGTAGAACAGGCCGGACTCACCTTTTGAACGGGTGAGAGAAACGATAGTGTACTTTAGCTTCCCTCCCACGCAAGCTGGGGACTTAACACTGGGCGGCTCACCTGTGCTTGTTCATCTGTCTGTCCCCCCCGCCTGCCCCCGGCTCACTGTCTCGTGCTGCCGTTGGCTGGGGCTGCAGCCCAGGCGTGGCCCACAGACGTCTCCGTCTGCTCTTCCCAGCAGGTGAGAGCACTCGCTGGGGACCTGGCGCGCAGGGCACGCTGGGCCACCATGAGCCACGAGCTGAACGGAGACAAGGGTGGAGCCTGCTCAGAGCAGACCACCTGCCCGGCGCCTCCCCACACCCCTCCCCCCGCCTCTGAGACGTGCGGCCTTGTCTGTTGCAGCAGCTGGGTGTGTAGCCTGCGCAGCGGTCCCTGGCCATCGTCAGCACCCAGGTCCCGGGGAGAGTCCCCCAGGGTCAGGGCACTTCCCATTAAGAAGTTCATGGGTTTCGTGGGGGAGGAGCTCAAACAGGGAGTGGCCCTAGGCTGTGCAGATGCAGCCAACCGCCTTCTGGCCCCGCATAGTTTATTTTTACGCTGGGTTTACACACGCAAGTGCGGACGCCCAGGAGGGGCTCCCTATGCGGAGAAGGAAAGCACAGAGACAGTGCGCAGGTCGCCGAGGGACCACAAAGCACCGGGTGGTCAGACACCGGCCCCGGGCCACAGCCACACCTCCAGGTGCCAACTGGAGCCTCGCTGACAGGGCTGAGGGACAGGCCACCAAGAGAGGAAGGCGTTCGCCGTCCCGGGTCCGCCGGGCCGGCCTGCTAGACACGCAGCCCGCCGGCGGGTTACCCGCCTCGGAAGCTCCGGCTCTATTTAGCCCTTGCTCATTCCAACAGAGCGAACTCGTGAACTTGAAGTTCTTTTTTTCTCTAAAGGCAAAAACTGGGTGAGTTGTCAGCTTTAAAATATAGTTACACGTCCTATATTCAAGTATTACAAAATTTCCTTCACTGGAGGACAATTATACTGCAGTCCTTAACCCCGAACTCCCACCGTTCATCTCAAGGTGTGGGAGACTTCGTCCCCGGATGATGTCATTTCCTCCGAATTCAGCCTTCCAGAACTTTCTTCTGGTAGCAGGAGCGGCAGAGGGGGCAGGCGTGGAAGGGAGCCACGTCCCCCCAGGAGAGCTGCTCCAGGGCCAGGAGGCAGGCGTGGTGAAACGTGTGCGAGCAGGACAGGAGCGCCGTCCGCCGCCCGGGCGGGCCGCCGCCCCTGGACAGCGGCGTGAGGCAGATGGAGCACTCGTGGGTGTCCCGGCGCAGGGCCTGCAACACAGCAGGGACGGGAGCTGCCCCACGGGCGCCCGGCGCCGTCCTGGACGGACGCGAGGGCGGCGCACCCAGCGACAGGCCCGCTCTGAAGCCCCGGGTGCGCTCTGTGCTCACACGGCACTAACGGTGTGTGTTTGGTACAGACACATCTCTGTTGCTCTTGTGAGAAATGGGAGAGCAACCCACCTGCGGTATGAAGTTTAAAAACAAGAATCCTTTATAAAAGGCGGAATGGTAACAAAATAGATTCCTTTTAAATTAAGCAATACGGCGGTCTTTTCCAGAATACCAAACTCTACGGAGCTGCTAGGCACCCATGTAACGTGTCCTGTGTTTAGGATACGCAGGTAAGCGATTCCTCGGTCGGACTCGCCACGGCCACGGCAGGCCCGGGGGGAGGGGCAGGAGGCGGTGAGGTCGGGGAGACGCGGCTGCGCTCTTCCCTTCGGAGTTCTCACCGCGCACAGAGTGGCACTGTCAAAGCAGAACCTCAGACGGAAGGGCCGTGCGGTCACCCCGGAGCAGATGGCGGTGGGCCAAGGGACCCCGGTCTCCCCGAAAAGGTCACCGCAGGCCCCCGCGGCCGCACTGCTCCGGCCACCGAGCAAAGCCTACCTGCGCCTGGATTTTCCGCCAGTCGTCGTCGGAGAGCCTGCGGCCGCACTGCTGGTCCAGCTGCTGCAGGACGCTGCGGTTGACCGCCAGGCAGTGATCGATTTCTGCCAAGAGCTCGTCGACGTCCGTGTGGTAGGAGCGGAGCATGCGCTGGCTGATCTCTGTGAACTGAGGGCAGGAGCCGGCTCACCTGCTGAGCCGAGTTCCTGGGGGCGAGGGACCACCTCTGCAGCCCCGGGCGCCTTAGGCACCCACTCCCCTCAGGTCTCGGCCTTCGAGTCATACTTTCTGGGGAACAGACAGATGGCTGTCTACTCAACAACGCCACACCCAGGCCGGTTATGCTGAGGGATTGCCAAGAAGGCCGCCTGGGTGTTAGCCCTTGTGGTTGTCGGCAAGGAATGCACTGGAATGAGAGGTTGACAGGAGAAAGGAGCTAGAATTGGATGAAGTGGGCTGCCGACCGCCCTGCCCTGGCACCTTGGGCCGCTCTCACTGGAGGAGGGCAGTCACGGCACAACGCCAGTTCCGCCCACTCCCGACGGCTGGTGGCCGCGGCTGGCCCGTGGGTCTCCGCTTGCCTGCCGCCTTCCCACTGTGCTTGCAGATTGTGAATTATTACTTCAGCGGGGCCATAAAAAAGGAAATCCAGAGAAAGAGGATCACCTTCTGTTAAACTAGCTGTTCAGTCTGTTTTTGTCGGCGAGCTTGAAAATCGTAATTTGAAAACCCCCATTGCCTAGGACCTTACCAACCTCTGAACGGAAGCCGATGCAGTCAGTTGACAGACGGCTGTCTGCCCCTTTGCTACGGAACAGATCTTTAGGACGTAAAATTCTCTCTCTCTCTCTTTTTTTAACTTCTAGCACAGACATGGGGGTAGCATATTAAATTTCCTCTCTTTTTAAAGAAGTTTACTGTGAAGGTAGTGTGCTTAACTAGTCTCTAATGTCCCCCCAGGCTCAGCTCTTTCTATAAAGCACTATCGTTTTGATCCAAGATTTAGAGAAGCAGAGCCACCTTGTGACAAGCGACTTAACTGGGCAGTGTGGGTTGTGGCGCCGGGTGCTATCGCCTCCTGCTGGCAGGAACCGGAATTGCCGGCACGAAGCACACCGGCCGCAGGCTGCGCCGCAGGGTGGGATTTGGGGCGTGAATTCGCTCTTGGGCGATATTAACGTGGAACAACTCCAGATAATGCAGGTAATGGATCCAGGGGTGACTCCCCCCAACGAGGCTGGTTTTTGTGCTATTAGGAGGTGACAGTTGCTAAGGCAAAGCAGCACAACCTGCCATCCTCCAGCCTCCTCTGGACTCCGTTCGGCCACGGCGCTAATTCGGGAAGGTTTCCCATGGCGCTCACCCTGCTCTCCGCGAACTTGAACCTCCACGATGAGGCATCGCCCGGCGTTTCCGTGCCTGCCTTTCTGTCAGGAGGCCGTCACCCCCTTTTAAAAGCGTAAAGTCCTCTGGATAGGCAGCGGTTTACCAGAAATTTAACGTGTCTTCCGCTTCACTAGGGTGCTTATGAAGACAGCGGTTGTTCCCGTTAGTGTTTTGGTTGCTGACGATTTGCCCATTTCCTCGTGAGTCCGGCATGGTTTTTGGGGAATATTTGCACTAGCACACGCCCCGAGGCGGGCGATCGAGGCCGTGCTGAGCGGATCCAAGGGCCTGGGGGACGGGGAAGCGGGAAGGGCTGGCTCCGGGGGATCGGTTCAGTTGTGAAGACCTGGCTTATAGGGGGCGCATTCGCCGGTGAGCTCTCGTGAGAAGAGTGGAAATAGCGGGGGCGCACGGGGGAGGGGCGCAGAGTGAAGGGGGGCGATATACTGAGGAAAAAACCTTCTTAGTCTAATTGTTCGTAGAACGTCCTGAAACGTAAGACTTGTGAGCTGCTCGAGGTGGGCGCCGCCCAACAGGAGTGGAACGGGGGCCACGCCGGCCACCTGACCACCTCTAGGAGCCGGGCTTAAGGGAGGTTTCTTTAAAGAGGCGGATTGTGACGACGTATTCTACGCAACAAAACCTACCCCAGGAATCGTCATTCAAGAGCTATCAGTCGAATGGACTACGAAAGGGACGCTTCCCGCTCTTTTTTCCGGGCAAGCTCTGACGTCTTGCGCGCCTCGTGCGTTTTCGGCCCGTCTGGCCCGGCCTGGCTCCCGGCGGGGCTGGGAGGCGCGGGTGCCCGTGGCTGCCCGACCGCCACCGCACACGCAGGTCACGGGCTCCTCGCCAGGAGGGGCCCTGTCGTCCGAGGCAGGCGGGCCGGCATCTCGTCCTTCGCAGGCCGTGGCCGGCGGGGCTGCGGCGCACGGCCGTGGGACCGCCTGTTGCTGAGGGGGCCAGGACGGTGGCTCTCGCCTGGTCTCTCCCTCCCTGTCCCCAGCGCCACGCTGCCCGCAGACGGTGGCCTCTCACCCAAGTGGGGCCACGCGATGGCGCTTCTGCTTGGAAGTGGGGCCTGCGGGCGGACGCGCAGGGCTGGAGACCCAGGGGTGCGGGGCATCGCTAGCCCGGTTCCGTGGGCCCCGCAGAACCGGCCGAGGAAACAGTGGAGCCTGCGGTTGGGGCGAGGGGGACCCGCACTGAGGACGGGCCGGACTGGCCCCTTTCAGAGTCTCGCGCAGCTTTCCACGAGCACATGTCAGACGTCACCCTCGCGCGCAGCCCACTCCCCGCATCGCTGCGCGGCGAGCCCACACACGGCACGCAGACGACGTCAGCACGAGGGACATGACGCCCGCAGGGGCGCGTGAAGCCGCCACCGTACATCCGGCGGCGGCTGCGCCACACGCACAAAGAGCACACGTTCCAGCGATGACGGTGCGGGGAGCACATCAAGCAGCGTCACCATTAGCACCGGCGTCCGTTCTCGTCCTCAAGGTTACGCACAGTGTGTGACGGGAGCGTGGTGATGTCACACGCCTACGACGGCCGCGCGGCCACGTGACACGGCCGACGTGACACGTCACGTCGGGAGAGACGTCACGTCGGGAGAGACGTAACGAGGGGCGTCATATCAGAAGAGACGTCTAGTCGGGCCGGGAGGGACATCCCGCCAGGAGCGAGATCGCGTCGGGATGCTGGGTCGGGAGAGACCTCACGCTTGAACGGCCGGCTGAGCGGGGCCGTCTCATCACTGGCGGCGGCGTCGGCGGCGGCAGGACTTCCGGCTCCGTCGCGCCCGCGCCCGCAGATGTTTGCGATCGGAACTGAAACGCGGTGGGGCCGGGACGCGTTGTGTGGAGCCCCGGGCGGATGGCGGCGCCGGAGCCCCTCCGCGCTGTGCCTGCGAGGACGCGGCCGCGAAGCGCGGCCCAGGTGGGTAACTCCGGGGAGGGGCGCTGGGCGCAGGCGGGGCCCGGCTCCGAGTCAGTCAGGCTCTCCCGCTGGCGAGCAGCTGGTCGGGGTCGCGGTCCCCGGGCGCCGCGTAGGGGGTTCGCGGCCCACGTCCTGTGTGGCCGGTCGTGTCAGAGGCCCCACGGTCCCGAACAAGAGACGCATCCAGGAAGGGCCCCGAGCGCGGAGGGCTGTGCCTCGGGAGGCCCTCGGAGTCTGGGCGGCGGGAGCCGGGGGCGCTTGGGGGGCCCGAGGGCGCAGTGGGCACGAGTTCCCGGCGCGGGGCCGGTCGGCGGCGCTGCTCTCCGCCGCACGGGGCTGCGGGTCCGCGAATTCTGGCGACGCCTGGCCGGCTGTCCCGTCGCGTCTCCGGCGCTCGCGGGGGCCCAGCGCGCCGGCCTTGACGCTGGGGAGAGCGCGCGCCGTCAGCTTCGCGGCCGCTGGTGAACGTGGGCTCGAGGGCCTCCGCGCCGCCGGTGCCGGGCGGCGAAGGGCGGGCGGGCCGGGGCGCGTGGCCCGGGGAGCCCCGTGCCCGCGCGGGCGCGGGCTCGGCTTTCAGGTCGGCCGCGGACGGTGTTTCGTTTCCCTCGGATCTCTCGGTCCCAGAGGCTGTTCAGTGTTTCTTAGTTTCTAAGCTTCTGAGACTCTCGTTTTTAATATTGTTTCTGGCTTAAACGCCCGGCGTCGGACAGGGAACGTGCTTTAGGCATTTTAAGTTTCTTCTACTGCGGTGCGAAGTTCCACGGTCGGTTTCGGGTTTCTGCAAGGGACGCAGTTGGGCAGCGCCGCGGGGGCGGGATCGTCGCCGACACCGTCGCTGAGTGCAGTGTCTTCGGCGAGGACTCGCTGACAGGTGCACGCGCGTTCTTATGTTTTCACGCGCGGTTTTTTCTGAGCTGCACTTTCCACGAGCACGCAGTAGGCGGTCCACGCTCTGGTGCTCTTGATGGCATTTCCCTCCCGGCTTTGAGCAGTGGTGGACTGTCAGCGAGCATAGTGTCCCCTGCGCTTTCTCAGCCAGACCCTCGCTGCGCGGCCAGGTGGGGACCCTGCTGCTCTCAGTCTGGCGCCCCTGCCCCTTGGTGCACAGACTCGCTGGCGCCGTCACCCTGTGTGCGGAGGTTCTGTCACCTCCTCCCCGCTGTGCAGGGGGAATCCCCTGCAGCGTCCAGTGGTCCACCCGGCAGAGTCTTGCGGGTCGGCCTCTTGCGGCCTCTGTCACAACGGGTCACTCCCTCTCCTTGGAGACACGCCGTGTCCTCCACTCTCCTCACGTCTCAGCCGCCACTCCCAGGCCTGGGACTGCACCTTGCAGGCCACCTTGCCTTGTCTGTTCACTCTGTCGCCTCCCAGACTGTCTCCTGGCCACGCCTGGAACTCTGCACGCTGGCCTGACACTGCTGTGGGACCCCCCACCCCCCTCCAGCCCTGACAGCGGCTCCGACTTCCAGGAAAAGCAGAGCCCTTGCTGGCCCTGTCCTTGGCACCAGCTGCGTGCACCTCCAGTACTTCCTTTTCCTCGGACCCCGTTGATTTATTGGCAGGTCTCGGCAGCTGCCTCTCAGCGCCTCCACAGGGGCCGCCAGGGCGGGCCCTGGGGGTGTCCTCTCCGTGGCTGCAAAGACCGTCTCTGGCTGCAGATCAAGCCTGCGCACCATCTCCTGCTTTAAACTCCTGTGGTCCTGATGTGGAGGAGCGCCTTTTCCTCCCTGGCCTGGCCACGGTGTCCTCTGTCCCTCATATGTCTGACGTCTCCCCTCTGCCTGGAAAATGTCTCACATTTGGGCGTGTCTTTCACTTAGGACCCCGGTCTGCGAAGGACA